AAAATACTTTTTGGACTTATAAACACATTATTCTCTTGGCAGCTTGTTTTGGGGCATACAGTTGCATTTTGAGACATTTCTGGGACTTTTTATTTATTGCAGTTTTTTTCATGATATTAAGGCTATAGCAAGGCCATAGTAAGGCTTGTTTCTGGTGATATTTTGAAATATTCAGATACATTTTTGTGCAGTTTTTGAACAAATTATTCACTTGGCAATATGTTCTGTGGCATAAACTTGTATTTAAAGGCATTTCTGGGACTTTTTTGGCAGTTTTCATGATGGTAAGGCTATATTTAAACTATAGTAAGTCATGTTTTTGGTGATATTTTGAAATATTCAGATAAAATATTTTCTGAAGTTTCTAGTACAAATTACTTTCTTGGCAGCATGTTTTGGGGCATAAACTTGCATTTTTAGACATTTCTGGCACTTTTTATTGTTTGCATTTTTCATGATAATTAGGCTATAGTAAGGCTATAGTAAGGCATGTTTTTGATGATATATTGAAATATTCAGATACGATGTTTTTTGGAGGTTTCAGTACAAATTACTTACTTGGCAACATGTTTTGGGGCATAAACTTGCATTTTGAGACATTTCTGGGACTTTTGATTTCTTTGCATTTTTTAATGATAGTAAGGCCATAATAAGGTTTGTTTCTTGTGGTAATTTAAAATATTCAGATAAAATGTTTTTTGAGTTTTTAGAACAAATTATTCACTTAGCAGCATGTTTTGAAACATAAACTTGCATTTAAGGCATTTCTGGGACTTTCTATATTTTTGCATTTTTTCGTGATAGTATGACTGTAGTCTTACTTGTTGTTGATGATATTTTCACATGATCAGATATGATATTTTTGCTGCTTTTAGCACAAATTACCCTCTTGGTAGCATGTTTTGGGAAATAAACATGCATTTTGAGACATTTCTTGAAATTTTAAAATTTTTGCATTTTTTCATCATAGTAGGACTATAGTCTTATTCGTTTTTGATGATATTTTCACATGATCAGATATGTTCATTTTTTTGCATTTTTAGCACAAATTATACACTTGGCAGCATGTTTTGGGACATCAACTTTCATTTTGAGATATTTCTGAGTCTTTTTATTTTTTGCATTTTTTCATGATAGTAAGGCTATTGTAAGACACTTTTGTTGATATTTTGAAATATTCAGATAAAATATGTTAATGAAGTTTTCCAGGTAATTCCAGGTAGGGTCCACTTATTTTGCGACCCTGAAGAGGAAGTGGTAGATGAGTGGTGGGAGTATGGCCAATTTTGACCCTCTTTAATGTGAGTCTGACTGGTTGTTTCTGTATGTGGCCCTGCGATGGACTGTCCCGTAGATAGCTGGTATTGGCTCCACAGATCCCCACGACCCTGAAAGGAATGAGCAGTAGACAATGGATGGAAGTTGGAGATAAATTAATGAACCTGAGAAAAGAAAAGAAAATCGTAGGGAGGGTTGATCGATTGATAGATAGATAGATAGAACTTTATTAATCCCTCTGAAGTTCCCTTTTGGAAATTAAGGAGGGATTAAGGGACACCTGGATTTGATGTGATGTGAGATAAACAAGGATGTTCATATTAATGCAACCAAGGATTGTGGGCAGTGGGGAGAATGATAGAAAGAAAAAGACAGAAGATGTCACGTATGACAGGGAATCCAGCTCTTAAGCCATTTTTGGCTGGCAAACATTGGAGAAATCAGCTCAGTCTGGAACCTTTTTATTTCACAAATGACCTCAAAAATGTTCATTGTTAGTGAGGCGAAGTGAAATAATGAGACACGCCATGATTGCGCAACGTGTGAAGGAGTCAGCGAAGCATTTACGAAGAGAAGCCAAGTATGAAAGAATGGCAAATCTGAAGGGCCTCTGACACATGCCTTGTAAACAAAAACTGCATTGTGCACGCTCTATAATGAAACATAAGACAGGATTTTAAAAAAAGGATGTTTTTGACTCAGCGTTGGACTGTGTTGGCGTGTGTGAGGCTGTGTAATTGACAGTTGGAGAGTGGACATTGCAATTGTCAGTGGCTGATGGTAATTGGAAAAATGATTGTAAAAAGAGGAGATGCTGAGGGACGGAGTAAAACAAAGGCTTTGTTTTGTGTGTGAAATGAACCGAGCGAAGCTTGTAAACATGTTTGCTGTGAAGGCATTGATTCTATTCCATAATTACAAATTTTATCTCAGATTCTTTCCAAGAAAATTGTTCCATTTAATGATGGGCTAATAAACTCTTGACTATTTTGTTTTACTATGGTTCACTCATTGACTTTAACCATAGTTAAACGACCAAAGGAAAACAATGGTGTAACAATTCCAGACTCACAGTACACTCTGAAAACCATTCTGAAACCAAAAGAAACTAGGAACAGGAACACCTTCCTGAAACACAAAACACAACATTAACAAAACCTACAACCCATTTGATAATTAATAATGACCAAAATTAACATAAAAACTCAAAGTAATGTGCCTAAACTGAACAACAGTAATAAACCTGAAACAAAGGAGAACATCAAAGCTGGAGGAAATGAGCAAAAAAGAGAAAGTTGGTCAAAACAAATGGGAAATAGAAAACACGGTTAAAACTGGTTGAACTGGGTGGTTAAATAATGATTCAAAAACATGATTTGTTTTGTTAAGATATATTGTAAAAGCTTATGAGGTCTGCTAATTGAATTGTTATTTTAGTTCTTTTTGTTTTTACAAGTGACTGCCACCGGTAAAATAAATCACTCTAAAAATGAACACATTTACCAAGAAATTACTACTTGGTTGAGAAGGGGCTGTGCCAAGTAAATTGGCCGTGAGTGATTTTCAGCTAGAGAGAGAAGAAGCCCTGTTTTTCAGTTGAGTCAGTCACAGTTCTTTTTAAACTATGACCTGAATAACTATTTAAAAAATACAATGAACATTTTTTTTTTTGTTCTTTTGCAGAAGAGATTTTGTTACTTAAAACCAAATGTTTTCTTGATGGTAATCAAAAAAAAAGTTAAACTAAAACTATATAACAAATTGCGTAATCGTGCATATGAGCTCCACTAACCTGAAACGCAACGTTTTTTTATTCCTGCCTTGTCAGTCATTTCCGCCCCCATTATTCCTGTTTTACAAATCTTTCAGTGTGTATACTGGAGTACGGTTGATGGAAACATCTGTGCCACAGTCTGCAACACTTCCCCTGTGGAAGTATACTAGCATGTTTTCCAAATCAACTTGCAAAAATGTTATTCCCTATGCAAATGAATGCACCTCACACCCACATTTTCATTTTTCTTTTATTCTTTTTTTTTTTTTTTTGCAAGATGTCTTTAGAACTGATACTTCTCCCAGAGGAGAGAGAACTCATTTTAATTCTTGTGTATTTTCATAGTTTAGGGTTAAGGACAGGGGAAAATGTATTTGCTCTGCACATGAAGGAAAGAGGAACAGAAATCTGTAGAAGCAAGAAGTAGACTATGTATATAAATTGGTCTGGAACAGAAGATACGAGAAGAAGAGGAAGTAATAGTAGATCAGTCAAACCTATGTCTACGATATTTAATGTGTTAATCGTGTAAATACATTTGTGTCAATAAATAAACATTTTAATGCATTTTAACATTATAATGCACTTATCTCTGCGCCCTCTGTGTGTAATTTATATTTATGTTGCAGCAACATACCGAAACAATGTTTTGTTATATTAAGGAATGTTGATTTATCTCAATTGATAATGATTAATCTGATGATTTATGATTGGGATTAATCATGATGAATGAATTTACAATCCCTAAAATACGACAGCCATTCAGAACACTAGCCAGTGCGGTGATGAGGTGGTGAGTGTGCAGGATGAGTGGTTTTGGTGGAAAACTGTGACAGGTCATGTGTGGAATACAAGTGAGAATGTAGTGTGGAAATTCCACTGTGTTTGGTTTGTTGACCACAGGATGCAGGAGGTTGCAGAGATAAAGATGAAGTTGAAGGCTAACTCCATGGACTTGTCTGCTGATAATTTGGTTTATTGTGTTTTCATGTGTTGTATGAGCTCATCTGTCGGTTTTTGGGGATTCTTAACGCAAGCAGCCAGTGTCATTACACTCCCAATCAGCCACGAGTGCTGCTGCTTACAACATCAGAACAACAGTCTTCACACTCACTGACGCTGAAGAGTGCGCCGCAATCGAATGACTTCACACTAATTGTCAAGGTGCTGTAGAAAACCTTGGGATGGATTACAGCGTAATGTTCCAACAAAAATAGATTTTAAATATACACATACGTGTCTATGTCTATATGTCTATCTTTCTATGTGCATTAAGTTGGCGAAGTGAGGATTCTCACATTCTCTCATTCGCCTTTATACAACTCTAGTGTGCATATTATTGTGTGGGAAAGGGTAATACAGTCTAGGTAGGGTTGATAACAGTGTGGGGGAGGTTTGTAAAGACTAAATATATAGGTAAATAATATAATATCTATTTATCTATATCTACTGTACCTCTCTATCTATCTATCTATCTATACATATATACATACATATATATGTATATATATATATATATATATAAAAGGTCTTCAACTCAAAACTAATGGAAAATATTGCGGTTCTCAATAAAATAAGTACACTGTTTTGTGTACTTGAACCAGTTGTTGCACAAGTCTGATGAGAATGTTTCAAGTGAGTTATCATGTTTGATGTACTGT